AAACGCCATCTTTCCAGAGTGCTGTATGTTTCACTCAGAAGTGATCATGCATATTTATAAGCGAATTCTGGATTCATCACGGAAAGCATTGGTGCAATTTAAGCATAGCAGTTGTGCATAGATGTGGTAAATTTCATTAAGAGACAACTGTGAGCATAACATTAAAATTCATCCAGTGGTGTCTGTCAATGAAAATATAATAAACACAGAAACATAACACAAAATGCAGTAACAAACAAGAAAAGTACGAAGTCCATTAATAAATCTTACATGAATGCACAAACACTAACCTTTGCCATCCACTTACTGGAAACACTCGTATTCATTTTCATGGGTTGAGGTAGAGACATTAAACTTATATTGCAGTATGGTTATGATTATATGGAACATTAACAGACCTGAAAAAAATCTTCACTAGATCTCCTTTTCCATCCATCTAATAGAGTTTAAAACTGTACCTATACAAATGTACTGAGTTATTACAGCACTTGTTTTGTTTTGTTTTGTTTTTCGTAAATGACAAAAATACTATAATTTTTGGTAAAAACAGAGAAAACTCTTTTTCAGGAGCTATATCAGCTTTGGGAAGTGGGTGAACTGGTTCCCTGCTGTAAAAATTTTTACAAGACCTACTGGTTTGATGGAAACTAAAGCCGAGTGACACACTTTTAGAGACCAGACAGTGAACCTACTGGTATCTATTACTGTCACTAGGAAAAAAAACATATTCTTCAAGGTTGTTTGGCGTCGATAGGTGCAATTTTTCACAAACAGGTATTAGGTGCTGCACTGACAACTTCCTTGCTTTGGTTGCTAGTGGTTCTTATGGAAGGCGCCAACGTCTTTGCAAACTCTCACTACTTAATCTCCAAGCAGTAGTGAAAATATAAGAAAAATACATTGGATTTAGTTCTAAGGCACAATGTTTACTTTGAAGAATGAGTTGCAAGCCAGAAACATTGATCTTTTGCCTTCAAATTTTCACAACTGTTCAGCGTTTCATTAGCAAGTGTTTGCATACAAGTTGCCATCTTCCATGCAAACTATGGGCAACTGCAGCAATCTGCTAGTGAACAAAAGAATTATATGCAAGTTTTTGGTGCAGCAACCTCTTTCAGTGACAGCTGCAAACCATTCGTCAACTTGGATGGGCAAAATATTTTTGTAGAAAAAGAGGCTGCCAGGAGATGGCCAACCTCTAGATCCTTGTGAATGTCATTCTACTGAATTAAATCAGACTCTACAGAACTCAGCTGCCAGACTTTCAGCTAGAACGAGGAGACAAGATCACATTTCTCTTACCTTTTTACACAATGTTTAGAATTGAATTTAAGATTTTACTGATTTCTGTTAAAGTCTTTCATAGCTTTGCTCGAAGCTACATTTCTGACCTCTTAGTAATTACCATATGCACCAGAGGTCTTTTGCCTGTTCCAGGGGCCCAACTGAAAACTCAAAGGGACAAAGCATTTGCAGGCTCTGAAACAACCTGTCTGGCAAAATCAAGTCAGTCACTTCCTTGAAATCATCTTTTAAAAAATACTTTGATGAGAAAGCTTTTCCCTCCCCTTAAATTTACTTTAAAGTGTCTTTTTTTTCCTCCATTTGTTACTTCTGTTTTATTCTGTTGCTCCCGTGAAGCACGTTGTAATGTGGAGCTTGAACAATGTTATATAAATAAAGTCATAATTATGGTTATTATTAATGCAGTAACAATAGTAAGTGATCCTGAAAAGTTTAGCAAACTTTTTGAAAAAACCACCTCAGTCTTTAACCTGTAATCACACGCTCATTATGTTGCTGTAATTGCAACCCACGCTTTGAGCGGTTGGCTCAGAGGGGGACTTAACCATACGATTAGTCACAGTCTGCATGCAAGCAGCTCTTCATCAGTCAGCTGGACAGTCACAAAATTAGTCACTTATTCTGCAAATATTTAATTCCAGGAGACTTTTGGAAATTTAGTCACAATAAAAAAAATTCTAAAATAAACTCAAGTTACCACCTTATTGTTGTATACCTCTGCAAACCGGCTCAGCTAAATATTTTGTGAGGGTGACTTTTTGACCAATTTTATATAAATTCCTGACATGTCACATTCATGAGGATGTGAACACATAGGATTCCTTCAGCCACACACTGGGGGTGAAAAGGGAGAGACAGAGAAGTGAAGGGAACTGATTTAACAATTACTCCATGAAGGCTCTGTAATTGTCGAGGTTGCCAGTTTAAGAGCTACGGACAGATGGACAACCCTAGAACATAATGGCTTCGGTCATGACTCTCACCAGTGCAGTCATAAAAATAAATAAATGTGTCACATCACTTTTAAATGACTATTTATTTCAATTTCAACTTTAGTAAACAAACTGTTGTGTAATCCATCCATCACTCTCACACGTCACATCAGAATCTCAGGAGATGGACGTGTTTTGAAAAGATCCTTAATTTTTATCTCATGAGGCTGCGTAATAAATTGAACAGTCTGCTCATAGACGGGATTAGATTGGGTGATACTGCACTGTAGCACCTACCACACTGAGAACTGTGTGTTCTTATATTAAGTTTTTGTTTGTTGTTGTGGCTTTTTTTTTTTTGTTTGGTTTTTTTGTGTGTGACCTTTTTTTTGGGGGGGTCTTGACCCAGTGCTGGAAAAACAGCTGTGCAGAATCACACCAACAGAGGAGGGAGTATTGCTTTGGCAGACTGGCATCATATCAGCATACTGATGACGCTGCCTGACAAAGAACGCTCTCTTGTCTATTCATTTATTCATCGTCCCTCTTTATCTCTTGTCTCATTCTCTCTTTCTGCCTCATGTTCTCCCTCCAAATAAAATATTAGATTCAATAAGTGACTACCAAGCAGAGGTACCAGTATTGGGCTCTGCTTCGCTCATTCTTTACTCTCTGAGGCAGCTGTGCAGTTGCTATCTACCCCAAGTGAAAGCGTAAATCAAACCAAAATAACTGAGATGTCAAACGGCAGCTGTAATTTACTCAGAGTGCCATCAATTGAGACATTTTTCCCATTTTTATATTCGGATATTGAAAATCCTTTGGTACCAGATGTCATTTATATTGGGTCTAATTTAGTTTTTTCTTCTTGCTAGTCAAATACAGGTGTAACTCCATTAACAGCTGTATCCCATTAATGCTAATTGTTAACTGAGGCGATACTGCTATGACAAGTTCATTTGCATTTCATGTATAATGAGAAGTGCCAATTTAAGGCTTATGCCCTATTTTAACAGTGAGTTTGTTCTTCAGCACTACCTTAAAAACTGTCTTATTGTCACTTTGGATGAAAATGGGAAATACAGTTCAGCATACCAAAGCATCGGTGTGGCAACTTTTCCACCCTGTACGATGAAAACTGAGCAAAGAAAGTGCACATTTGTGCCTTCAGCAAATGTAAGAAGAGCTGAATGAAACAAATTACATGGATGTAAATTAATATTATTTTTATGAAATAAAACAATATTAGGCTTTTCATAGGTCTGGAGCTAGATAAATGCTACAAATGGGTCATTTTAGTCCATTTCTAGTTGGTTGCTAGGCAATGTTAAGCCGTCATAAAATATCACACATTATTTAAGTATTTCTGGATATAATTTAGATGTTATTTTCATGCTATAAAAATCATATGTTCTTACGAGGAGTTGTAGGTGCATCAACAGTATGAATGGGTCATTTAAGCTTGTTGGTAGGTGGTTGCTAGGCAATGTAATGATGTGAAAACCTTCAGGGTCCCAAGATGTACCTGTGTGCCAACTCTGGTTGCACAACTGCTGATCATTTAGGAACAAATGAACAGAGCTTTTGTGTATTATACTGGAATTTGTGTTGTTTGTATATTCAGGAAGACTTAAAACTTTATTAAATACGTTGTTGGCTTACTAACGCTAATGTGTTTTCCCAGGTTTGTTTGCTGTTGATTTGTTTTGGTTTTTTTGGTCTCTTGAGGGTTTGCAAAAGAAGAGGGCAGTAAAAATGACGGGTGCAGCCTCTGCAGCCACGTGTTCAACACGTGGCTGCAGGTGATGACACATAATGTTTCACTGTTCTTGTGAAGATGATAATTTCCAAATTTGATGCAGGTCAGTGAAGCAGCAAATTCTCTTTGAGTGTTCCAAATTAGTCCTTTTATCTCCTCCTAGTGAAGTATTTTCAGGTTTTCTTTCGAAATGGGAATATTTTCCTCAGATCTGAATACGAGCCACCTGTCCAGGTGGTATCCTGCCTCTCACTGAATGAGATCTGAAATGGGCCCAAAACCCCCGTGACTCCGAATTGGATTAGTGATTAAGGAAATGGATGGATAGACAGATGGATGGACTTGTGCCGGAGTTGGCTATGAGTATTTTGTACACAAACAGACCAGCCAGCACTTTACAAGACAGGGACAAAGATGCATCTCCGAGGAAGAGCTTACATGTCTAGTGGGAAGGAAAAACGCACCTGCTCTTAAAAGTAATGAAGGAAGTAGATATAAGCAGGTTTTTGGATATGTGCAAACATCACAATACCTACCGACCTTTTCAAGAATGTGGTAGAAGGAATGAAAGGGGGAAGCTGTGTTTGCACAGTCAAATAAATTTGCCACCAGTGGAAAATTGTATTTGGATAGTAAACACAGCTGCATCTGAATGTGAATATTCATGGTATAGTTTACCTCATTTGTCTTGTAAACAGCTCAGTAAAATATTTTGTACAGGGAAACGCCACTTCTTCAGGTGAAAGCCCTTCGATCTGCTCCTTTAAAATTCTGGCTGAAAGGAAAAGAGAGAGAGAGAATCAAATACTAACCGGATGAAAAATGTTGTTAATTGTGATTAATTTCATCCTAAAATGCTACTTTTGGCATCATACCAGCACAACAGAATGAATCATGTTCACATAGTTAGTTACTTATTGACTCTCTCTGTCTCTCCTGTGTTTTAAAACCACTTTTCTTTTCCTTCTTACCTTTAATATTGTCATCTTTCCCCTCTTTGTCAGTTTAAGTGTTGTGGAGGTGAAGAATTTAAAGACTGGAAAGTCAACATGTACCACAACTGTAGTGCGCCCGGTCCGTTAGCCTGCGGTGTCCCATATACCTGCTGTGTTACTACTAAGGTAGGTGTCATTATTGATGGTCTTACCACTACATCTGCTGGTACAATTTATGCTTTTCTTGTTGCAATAATACCTCTTGTATTACCAGTTTCTATGCATGATGCTAACTGCTTCTGCCTCTTCTGATAATACTGCTACAGCACAATTTATGTTCAGCTACTACATTTAAAACATTTTTATTATTATTATAATTACAAGTACATAATTACAAGTACATATTTTACATGGTATATAACATTTAAATGATGTTTTTTTAGAAACTACTTGTGGGTAGACGTTTACATCCATCATGGGCATGAATGTCATAGGTTTCTTTGAACAGCTTTTGTTTTTAATGACCGTTTGGGAGAAAAAAAAGAACAAGAATTGGGTGCACAAGTTTGAATTTGAACTTATATTGCACTGACTACAACCAGTAGTTTTTCTTTATCAGCATTAAAAAGATTTGTTTGACAGCACTCATCAGATTGACCAATATTCAGAACAAGGGGAAATCCAAGGAATTCAGCAAAAATCTAAAGTGGAGACTAGTAGATTTGGACAAGTTGGAAAGGTCGCTTGGAGCCATTTCTAAACAACTGCAGATCATCAGTTCAGACAGGTCTATGCAAGCACAATTTATCTGGAAGAATGCCAAAACTGTCATCATCACATAAGAAGAAATTGGTTGTAGGATGTTCAGAACAAACCGAGGCTCAAATCTGCCGTGAACTGGAAGCCATATGCCTTTTGGAGAAAGGTTTTATGGTCAAAGACTGAGCTTTTTGACTATAGTGACAGCTTGAGGTTTTCAAACTTTCAACTGTCAAGCACGATGGTGTCATTCTCTGGGGCTGCTTTGCTGCCTGTGGTACATTACTTTACACAGAGTAGATGGAATAATGATCGAGGAGTACCTCCAAATTCTTCAACTTCATCTCAAATCAACGGCTAGACACTTAAAACTAAGACACAGATGGGTGTTCCAGCAGGACAATAACCCCAAACACTCATCAAGACTGATTTGTGGTTTGAAATGTTGACCAGTTTAATATATGTGTGGATTTGAGAAAATCCTAAAATACATTAAAACTTGTAAACCAAATGTTAAAAGACCAAAATTACACTGGCATTTATCATCTTAAACTGTATCTCATGCCGACCTATTTTTAATGGGGTCCAGTTATAAAAACATATGAAGGTAGAATACATTAAGTCCCCTGTAAAAGACGATTGCACATATTTAACACACCCGTCTCTTCACTGGAGTTGATGAACACTTCATGCTAAGAGGTTTTTAGAAAAAAATTGTGTAGGTGTTTTGTGGCTGCAGTGGGAATGAACAAAGTCTGATTAGTTAAAGCTAAAGATTCCAGGTTTGCTGGGGGGTGATATTCACGTGAAAATACGTGAATAAATGGCTTAATGGCTAAAGTGTGACGTGAATTTATCTTGATACATCCTCATTTGTCTCATGAGAGGGTTTTTGATCTGCAGTTGTGCTGAGGAGAACTCCCAAAATCCCACGCAGCTTCACTTCTGAGAGACAAATTACACACTGTGAGATGCTGGCATTTTATTTGCTCAGGAAGGCACCTTCTCACTGGGGGCATGCAGTCTCACAATCACAGTGAGAGCTGAAGATCAGAATTAGATACCAACTAATCTGTAATTGTATCATGTTTGTTCCTGAATTTGTTTTTTTTTAGTTTTGGATTTGTGTGTGTGTGTGTCATTAAAGCTCTCAGACACACAGGCCTAAAGATCTGTCGGCGACACCTTCCTCAACCCTCAGCCCCAAGCAACTGCTAAACAACTGAAATTCTGATTTTCATCTGCAAAGTGGTTGGCATTAAGGAATGCACATTTTTCTCTAGTGCTCGGTGGCTGCCAGTGTCTGTGTGTCTGGGTCTTAAAGTAATAGCTCTTGCATGCAGAGTGACATTTAAAATGCACCTCTTCACCCTATATTGTGATTAAGCCTTAGCCATGGCATGTGCAGGCAATTTTCTCCACCTCTAAGTAGCAAAGGCTCCCTGTAATCTGTACACCTACACTGTCCAGTAATTATAAGGACAAAGAGAACAAAGAGAAAGTCTTGAGCTAAACACACAACAGTTTGACGAACTGTCTGAACTTATGAAACTGATCTCATCCGACATTCTCTAAAATTTAATTTAAAGGTTTCTGTGTTGGCTCAAACTTTCTTTCTTTCTTTCTTTCTTTCTTTCTTTCTTTGACTAGCAGCACTTTTTAATTCCACTTAATTTTAGTTTTAATACAACAAGATGCAGGCTGCAGATGACTCTGTTCTGAAGATAAAACCATTAGATTAGATAAAAGCTTTTATTCTCCTGGCTGTCCCCACACTGTACAGCTTTCTGTTAATTTTTATTTGAAACATTTTACTTCTCTTTCAGAATAATGAAGTGCCCAACACTATGTGTGGGTACAAGGCCCTAGATGACAAGGTAAGACCTCAAAGTCATAAAACAAAGATGAGCTCTTGCCACTTTATTATGTGCTGAAATATCCATTGTGACTGTTGTATGCTTTATATCCACCGAAGGTTCATTTAAACTGGGAATTGCAGACAGAAAACTGGCAGTTGCTGTTCTTTTTATCTCATTGACAGCTGAATGTTTCTTAGCAATAACTCTGGATGTGCTGTGTCGCTCTCACACAACTGAGGACAAGTGTCAGATAATTAAGTAATGGACTGGTCTTATTATAAGCAAGGAACATAAAGTTAAACAGTTGGAAGAAAGGAAAGGGAGCTGCCTTTGACTTTTTGTAGTTTTGAAATTGGACTAACCACCAGTGTTCTGTGTCCCACAGCATCAACCACTGCCTGACATCTATACCAGAGGCTGCACCGGTGCATTCATTTACTGGCTGCTGGACAATTATAAGATTATGATCATACTTCTGTTTTTGATCCTAGTGCCTCAGGTACGTACACACACACACACACACACACTATCAACACCAATAAACAGACAAGTTTCTCTCATGAGCAGTTTTATGATGAATACTGAGAAGTGGATTTGTACCGTGAGATAGTACAGATGCTTTACCTTTCTACTCATTTTTTACAGGTTAGCTTTTCCCATTATCTGTGGCCTTTTCTTCTCCTAATATGTTTGTATAGGAGTGTTCATACAGAAATGTGCTTGACTCTGTTATATAATATAAATATTTACACTCATTTTTAATGTGTTTTTATCCCAACTATGACTCACTTTGTAACTGTGTGTTTTAAAAAGTTCGAAACAAATACAGTTATTATTGTGGTGAAGGGAAAGCTGTCGATGGTGGGTACAAACAACAGCAATTAACTTCTTCAAAAGGGTGTCTGAATAAAAGTGCGGCGCTCTGGAGGGGAGGGGCACAGAGTAGAGGCATACATCTTTCAATTGTTGCCCATGGGATAGAAAATGGATTTAAAAAGATCTGATTTAAAAAGATCTGATTTAAAAAGATGCGCTGAAAAAGCCTTTTAGAAGCACAATTTAACACAAAACATTAGCTGCAAAAAACAGGCTGGTTTAGTATAATTTACCTGAGACAAGGATGACTAAGTTATATTTTAATGTGTAGTACTATATATGAGGAGTTATCTATGTCACTTTGTAGCTAGATGAGTTTTATTTTCATTGTTGGTATTTATTCCCACCATGGATGTTTATGGAACAATTACCATTTAATTTTACTTTACCTTTTAACAATTAAATTTTTAAACTCAATACAAAAGTATAGACAGATGTACAGATGGGCAAATAGATAAAATAATGTAATAAAAGTCTAAACAGAAAGCCTGTTTAAACAAAACAAATAAATGTAGACTAAAAAGACTGTCTCCCCGGCCTTTATTCATGTACGAGGAACAACTAAAAAATTCTGAGCTTGTAAATGGAGATAGTCAGCAGCAGTGTCTTTTGTAACAAGATGAGATAAATAATCTGGAGCATGGCCACTTAGCACTTTGTGTGTAAATACAAGAATTTTAAACAAATGCTAAAATCTCTTGGGAGCTAATTTATTGAATATAAGATGGGAGTGTTGTGAGCTTGATTTCTAGAACGTGTTGTTAAATATCAACACGTTAATAGTCTGGATGCAGTATTTTGTACAGCTTGGAGAGATTATCTGTCAAAACCAGTAAACGGGGCATTACAATAATCTAAGCACAAATGCGGGAATTGTTTTGTTTTTTTGTGTGTTTTTTTTTGGTTCAGCTGCGCAGACCAGAGAAGAATCTAATATTGTACCGAGATTTCAAACACTGAACTTTACATTTGAAACAAAAGAAGCAAGAGCCGGACTGATTTTAGGATATAGTTCAGGTGCTATAATTATTGTTTCAGTAAAGTTGGCATTTAATACAAGGCAATTGCTAGAGAGCTAAAACAGTGGGTCCAGCTGGTGAAGCTTAAAAGACGTATATAGCTGAATGTCATCACCATAGAAATGATAAGAAATGTCATTAAAATACTAAATGATGCCGGCTGAAGCATGTAGAAAGAAAATAATACTGGACACAGGACTGAACCTTGTGGAACCCCACAGGTTAGGGAGATAATGTTAGAGGTGGCCAAACAGAGGTCCTATGAGATTTCATGCAAGGTTGTACAGTTTTTCAGTTGACCTTTTTGTGATAGGTGTGGCTGCAGTGATGTGTCATTTGTACTTCAGATTTTGAGAAGGCAAACTTGTATTTGCTTCTGTATTTACCAAAACAGCTTGCAGAGACTTATAGAGTGTACCTTTTAGAGCTCAGTGGAATAAATCCTCCAAAACCCAGATTAGCAAATGGAATAAAATGGAAATTGCTTCACCCCTTAGGCACATCTGACAGCTCCACAGCCTTAGGAGAGATAAAAATCAGCTGTGCAGTTACTTGCTGGTCCAATTTATTTAGATTTGCTTGGACCAAACAGGCCATAATAAAAACACAAAAATTAACTTTTATTTTAAAATATTCTTTCTGAACTTAAAATGGACCAAAGATTTTCTTTTTAAATCAGACTTTTATTCTTTTCCGGCATTAAAAGAACAAAATCTACAAATGCACACTATTCATTCACTCTGCACACCTTATACTCCTTCATCCTTCCCTTTTCTTGAACCAGATTCATTTGGTAGTGTGGATGTAACAGCACAGGTGCTGTTTTTCATTACTTTGCCATTTCTACCCTCATAAATCACATTTTCAATCATACATTTAATAATCCACACACTCTGGCAGCTATGAATATATGAATGTAGGCTGTGCTGGACTTTAATAAGCATGTTGAACTTGAGCTGTGCAGAAGGTGTCAGTCGTCCGGTTCATTACACAGGTGCTTCTCTTTTGCTCTTTGTCACACATCCCGATTTCTCAGGTGATGCTCAACATTTAATCTGGTGTCCCACTCTGTCGGATATTTGAGGTTACTTACGAATGTTTAGTTCCAAGTGGAAAATTTCATCTAACTCAACAGAAATCTCTATATAGCAGGACAAGTCATTTTTATCTCAGCTTCCAGTTTAGATTCCAATTGTGTGTATTTCTGGATGTGTGATTAGTGTAGGTCTAATTAATAAAAAAGAATAAAATAAATATTAAGCAACTTTTTTCAAGACATATTAAAATGGAAAAAAATACACAAAGTGTATTTTTTGGCTGTGAACAATCCAAAAATGTGTATGTGATTAAAAGTACCTTTGTTCCTCTCATTTCTATGATTCACTGAGATTATTTTGACAAATTTCACAATCATGAAAAAGCAAATGGAACGAATACCAGCTCTAAATATAAATAAATAGATTAAAGTATTGCTGATATGTGTGCTTTTGTTATCTGAGATGTGAGCTTAATTTCTGGGATGCGTTTGCAGAGTAAGTAGAAAATATTTTTTTGGTAAAGGCTGTGCAGATACTTGTCAGGTTTTCCTCAAAACTGCATTAGGCACAAACTTAAACGAGTCAAAAAGAAAAGTCAGAAATGAAAATTAGAAAGCCCTTCCTCTTCTTCTTGCGTAATCTTTTTCTAAGTCATTACCATAAGACAAGCACAGACATTATACATAAAAGCCTTTTAGAGGGTTTACCTCTTACATGGACTTTCTTGGCATTCACAGACCTGTATTTAATAATTAGCTGATTTCTTTCAGGCCTGAAAAACAAAGCTGGGAGGAGGTACAGGTGTCTAGTTTGCTAGTTCTCGTTTGGGAAACAGAGAAGCAGAGAGATTTCGCACTCAATTTCGTTGTGTGGACAGATGTGGCAGTAGTAGTCGCGTGCCTGTATCTCTGCAAAGACAAACTCAGAAGCATACAAAGCAGCTGCTACCAGCAGACCACCAGCTGATCAGGCTGTGCAGTCCTCATGCAGACTGATGTTGCTTCAGGTGATCTTTCAAAGGATGTCCAGTTGATCTAAACACACATTTCCTTTGTTCCTTCCGCCTCACATCTCTTCTTTTAATCTCTTTCTCATATCTTACATTAGGGAGGCTTAGATACATGGTAAAGACACAAATGAGACTAATGAAAAGCAGCCACAGTCACCTTTCTTCCACCATGCTTATTAAGATTCTCTCTCTCTCTCTCTCTCTCTCTCTCTCTCATTCCCTCTGTCTAGTTCTTCGGTATGCTAGTCACCCGGATATATATCACTCGTGTTGAAGACATAAGTAATGAGTACGCTGAACCCACCAAAGATGCACTACGTCAGAAAGGTCACTTGGACAAATGGTTCAAATGTATGCCAGAATGGGACTGACAGAAAACTGCAAGTAGCAAAGAGATCTGATGTTCAACTGTGCTTCTTTTTTTTTTTTTTTTAGCGTCGCTTGTTTTACTTACTTTTAACAACTTTGTTGAAATACAGTGTACTAATGGATGAGTGGAAAATACTCGTTTAGATATGAGCTTTTAACTGCAATGTGGCTAGCACGGTCTCAGGGATAAAGACAAAATACAAAACAACCACTTTTGTTTCTTTCTTTTATATGAAATGAGTCTTTTCCAGTGCAACACACAATCACAGTTCGTGGCGTTGCCTAATTTTGATACTTTTCTACCCCTGTTTCTTCTGTTGATTAAACCATTGCTTGACCTTTCTAAATAATCAATGCTGAATCGGCATTGAAGTGCTGGTATGCATAAAAATGGTCTAAAATGACTTTTTTTTTTTTTTGCTTATTTGTTTGTTGCTTAAAAACAGCTGGTCAGTTTGCCTTATTTGTATCTCCTGATGTGTCCAGGACAAGTGTTACCTATGATGCTCAGATGTATTACAGATATTTTATTAAAGAAAAAAAACCTTTATTATGAAATACAATTTTGTCAGTGGGAACACAAAAAAAATATGAATCTTAGTAAAGTGGCAATGCTATAACCGACTATCTCAGGGTGCCTATAAGCAGCAACCTTGTCTTTTAGAAATTGCCACTGCATGCCAGTTTGAATACTGCTGTTAGTAGACTTGCATGTAGTATGTATCCTACTCCTTATTTGTGTAGTGGCTGGCAATCAGCACAGTACAACTGTCTTCAATCAAACAATTGTGCAGTGGAAATGACGATTTGTGATTGACATGTTAGTCATGATTGCATGTTTTCAAGCTGTCTTTTCACAGAATAGTGAAGTTATAAAAGCAGCACTTTAGATCTGCTGTGGCCAAAGCTGTGGACGTGGCACAAATTTTGTTTCCTGTAATTTGGCTCTTGACTTTTTTTATTTAGCTTATTTTTTACATGTTTCTGTGATCTAATGAAGACAAATTTGGGGCGTTTTATAATTTTCAAAGACTTTTATTGGCAAATAAATCAGATTTATGTAAACAGTGCCTGTTTGCAGTGTTGACCCTTCTTCGTAACAGCTCCCTCGGGCATGCTGAATATCAGTTTCTGAGTTCATGAGTATGCTTCTGATCACTCTGCGAAACAGTATACGATCACTGTGAACTGCCAAAATTGAAGCAGTAAATTGTATGAAGTAAGATATTTGTGCCACTGCCAACAACAACAATCACATGATGCCTAACAACAAGTTCAAAGGGAACAATACAGAGATATTTCCCACTGACTATTGTTGTGTGGAAAGATGTAACAGGAGTAGTAGTGTGGCCTTGTTATTTAGACAGAGCATCATTACAGCAGAGCTATAAGTGCAACTCACTCAATAATGAGTGTGGGTGTAGAAGTATACAACGTGAGGTATAGCAACGTTTATTTACCACTATTTACCAGCAGTGAACCTCAAACTTCACAACCTATGGAAAGCTGACTGGTAACCACACACACCCACTTTGTAACTACTGTCTGGTGGTGTGTATGTACTCTGTCGTATGGGGGTTTTATTATGTGTTACAGTTATTTTATACTCTTTACTGTGAGGATGTGTTTAGAGAGAATCAGTTTCGATATAAAGCGACAACAGCTTCTAGCATTAAGGAAATTATTTTTTTATGATTTGATGCATTTAAAAATGAAAACTATTTTTAGTTACATGGATTTAATTACATTAATGTCACTCAATGTGCTTCGTTTGTCTGCCTCATTAAACTAACGGTGCTAAGGGAACTATTTTGGCTAATTAGTTTGTTTTGGAAATTTGATTGAAACTGTAATTTAAGTTACAAATAAAAATATATTGACCCAGTTCACCGTCAATGTGATATAACAATATATATGGGTAGTTCTGTTATTTTCATATTCATTATTTGTCACTGGTTGTATAAATATGTACAAAGGTGGTCTCAGCTCCAAAGTTTATACAATGTTGGAAAGACTGCACAACATAATTTGAAAGTATGTTTTTGAAATGCTTTGTTGGGTTTAGGTTGGAAAATAAAATGATTAAAATATTTTAAGAGTCCTGTTGTTTTTCTTTTAGTGGACTGTATTTAAGGAACAAACCACAAAAGCAACTCAATCACCAAACATCTCCCCAAGTCTACACCCTCTCCGAAAAATTGTCACCTCTGGCTCAAACTAATCGAAATCATTAAACATTAAAACAGCTTTAAAATTATGGTACTCAATAGGTCGTCCTGTGAAGGTATTTCGGGTGAGGCTGTATAAATGATTGTTGATATCATACTGTGTATTTTCTAGGCCAGGCTTCATCCTGAGTTTACAGCTGTGTGTAAATTTTTCATGTTGAAGTATGTGAGCATCTACAGACAAAAATGGAACAGATGAAAAATGTAAAAGTTCCTGAATTATTTCCATAAAAGTCTCCAAACAAAGCCAGTTCTTGTAATAATTCAAGCTGTCACATTCAGCTCCACTGTTACAAACCATCACTAATGCTTACATGTAAGATGCCCAAGAATGGTCCAAATAACAGGACATTCATACCAAAACATACAAGACAACATAAGAATATTTTATTAGATGCGCTTTGGAGAAAGAAACCTACTCGTTGAATTGTTTGTTTGGTTTAAACATAATATCAAAATAAGTAAACACATTTATGAAAGACTCAGGCTGAGTGACAAAAATCTTTGTTGTGTTAAAAACAATATGTTGCAATAGTAACATTTCACAGTATATTTAGGTTAAAACAGTGACCAAAATTTGTGGCACTGAAAACCTCTAAAATTGAAAGATTAATTTAGAGTCAGTTTATTTCTAATTTTACTTTTTACATTACCAAACGGTGCTATACTAGAAGCTTCTCAAACACAAGCACCATGTGTACATGACGTCTCTTCTGTTTTACACATTAGAGGAGTTTATGTGAAAAGAGTGGGAATGTCCACAGAGGCTTGGTGTTTATCTGTTGTACGATCTTTCTTCCTCCTGCTCCTGCTGCTCCACAGACCTCCTGCTGAATCGAACAGATTAATATTTTACTTCGACCGCCACTCAGGACCAGAAAGTTATTTTGCTTTATCACAGAAAGAAGACACTTTGGGGAATGATCTGAAAGCAATGGCCATGTTCCACTCACCAAAACGATATAAATAATCATAGCAATACACTCAGACTCTGGCTCAATTTTAAAGCAAGTACTGTAAGCTGTCCATGACACAAAATTAAAAGATGATCACAGCTATTCATCTCCTTGAGAGCAGTCATGTGGTTACCCCCAGACCACTATGAAATTGAGCTGTTATAGAAATACAACCTTAGGCAGAAATTTAGGGACAAAGGGTACTAGATCCTCTTTTTCAGGGAAAAATAAAATTAACCTTTTCAAGACAACATTGTAAATATACCTATAATATCTCATAATATAATATACACTCACACTAATTCATCTTGTGGTAATTATATTTGTAAAACAATACATTTTCAATTAATTCATTTTGTTAGCTGCACCATAACACAGTTTATGATCTTGTATTTCAGTGCAGCAGTCGTATTATGTTGTCTTTTAGTGCATGACTGTGGAGAAATGGCCAAAAAAAAAAAGAAAATCGCCCATAAATTTCTTTAATCTTTTTCTAAACTTTTACTTGAACTTCAAAGAAAAAAAACTGAAGTGAAGGAAAGATATTAAGAAGAATTCATAATGATTACTGGTGCGCTCAGAGAGTCTGACTGCACTTAACACTGGCCTCCTTAATATTGTTCCTGAATTGGGTCTCAAACGGCAATGTCCCGAAAATGTGGTAAGCTCATCTTAATTGCTTCAGTTCAGTAAAAGAGAACAACTGGTGAGCAATATTACTTCAGCTGCAAGATTAAATTCCAGAGGGAATAAATAGCCTATAAAAGGAAATGAAATGCTTGTCACATTGAAATTAGTTGCGTATCCTTGGCCACTCATGTTTTCTCTTCATAGACAGATGAGCAAGTGTAACTAATGCCTTTATTAAGGCTTTCTGTGACAGAAGAAAAATCAATTATGATCATCCTAAGGCAGCAGCACCTAAATTGAGGATATAATTAATGCAAACTGAATTATGGTAAACCTTAAATTAACTCTGATCAGTTTTATGTAGCTCACAATCCTTCTTTAGATTAGCTACGCAAGAAGCAGTTTTTATAACAGTAGCAAAATGTTCAAAGTTCACCTGTGGGTTTAACAGCCTGCCGCTGAAGGTTCAAAATATATCAGCAGGATATGGCAGAAAATATCTCTTATTAGACTGACTGTTTTCACGAACAAGTGTTACTTTGAACTCTGGGACAGCGTTATCGGCTTTCCTTTTATAAAGGATGGTCCGGTGTATAATAAAGGAAGCACTGAAGCACCTTTCCTAGGGATTTAAAGAATTCAAACAGCTCTTGTTATGACTGCCACACAGATACTCCACAGAATCCCTTCACTCTGTTAGGAACCTTGCTAAAACCATAGGACTACAGCCTGTGTTTATCGAGACAGGGGGCCTGTCCACAATTACAACCATTGTTGTATTTGCTTAAGATAGAATTTTACAATTTCCCAAGCACCCACTGCCTGAGAGTGGTTACTTGATATAGTGAGATAGTTGAGATACATATTTCTTCCAGCAAGCTTCCAGCCGAGTAGTTTGTCCTTGACAATTAGTCATGAACCATCTTGCCTCATCTGCAGGCAAATTTAGGAGGGCAAACCTCTCTTGGTGTGGGAGTCGTCTTGTGAGCTTATGGTTTTACATCATGAGAGAAAAAGTATGTGTATCTCCCTCTCAGTCTGGCTTTCTGTCTCCCCCTTGACTTTCACTTCTCCTCTTCAGCTGTTTACACCAAAACAAGCAGACAGCTGTACAGACAGCAGAGTGATTGGTCTGTCAGGCACACGGCATGTCTTATATGACCATAAGTGAAAGGGTTACAGAAGCAAACAGTATATGCTTTAAATCAGACTCTTCACTGGTTTTATAGTTTGTTTATAGTTCCTCTGAGGATGTAGGCTGTCTGCATGTCTGCTGCTTCTGTCTCTTTGTGGAATCCAAATCTCAGCGATGTTCAGGACTCAGTGGGGGTCACACCATCTGTTGCAGCATTCAGTCACATTAGTTGTTGCTGAAGATGGTTCTTTACAACAATGACATTTGGCAACAAGTCTTCCATAGAGAGCATTTTTGATCAGGCTTCTCTGGACTGTGAACCAGGGCTCTGCTCTTTATCTTTTACCTCTTACTAGTTCTGCTCCATAATGTGACTGGGAGACGTTTCATCCATTTCTGGCTGCTTACGAGCAACAGATAATTACTGGCACTGGGGTGAATTCAACCTGAAAAGTGTTTGTTTATCGGGGTAATTTTCCATTAACACTTCAGATATTTTATGTGCACCCTCCTCAGAGGTTTATACTCTTTTATTTTTTTATTTCATGTTAGAGTCATTTTAAGAACAAAAATTTCTGTATATTTGAAAAAAGCAAATATGCATAAAAATAAAACAAACTATACTCATAAACCGCCTGATGACATTGCAGAACAAGTTTCAGCCAGCAGCTGTCAGTTGACCTTTTACCTGTTATCAGAGAGAAAATATATATAAGATATGTAGGGTCATGTGACAAAGAAGTACCCTCGGATAACCATCACCAAATGTAATTTTACTGTGTCATTATTTATTAAACAAAAATTAAACCAAAATGCAGAAGCAGTGCACGCCAGCTTTATTTTCACCCTGACATGAAGAAGACGATGGATGGTTTTGTCAGACATGAAGCTGTGTACCAAACCTTTCAACTTTGGCCTTTTCTGTCCAACATTTTCCCAGAAGTCTTGTGGTTTGTTCAGAATGTTTTTGTTCACAAACTTTGCAAACCTGCTGCTATGTTGTTTTTATAGAGAAGAGACTTTCTCTTGGCAACTTTTCCAAACAAGCCATACTTGTTTAGTTTGTTTTTTAATGGTACTGTCATGAACTTTAACATTTGACACTCTAAATGAAGCCTGTAGGGTCTGAGATGTAGCTCTTGGGTGTTCTGCATTTTCTCTCTGCATTACTCATTCTGACCTCGGGGTGAATTTCCTGGCAATATTGAATGTTTTCCATTTGTGAATATTCCTTCTGACTGTAGAATGATGGACTTTGATTAGCAGCACCTGGTGGCTATTTACCCTCTTAATTTCTGTGAAAGCAATAGGAGTATACTGCGTCTGCATTAAATGCATATAATGAAACACTGTAACAAATTATGGTGACAAAATACTTTCAGAGTCAGTGGAAGCACATCACATTCGACATGGTAAAAATCGCATTGCTGAGTAATCTATATTCAATGTAAGATCAAGATAACCGTGTGTTGGCTAGTCTCTTATGTTTTAAGTTCAATTAGCGATTATTTTTAATTAACATTAAAAAAATTCTAATTTATTTAGCTAAGAAGAAACCATAGCATTTCTTTCTAAAGCAAAGACGGGGAGATACACATATAAGAGTGCAATCAATAGTGTGTGATTTATCATTGAGATCTATAGCTCTAAAATTACTTTGTTACTTATAAAGAAAGAGAAATCATTGTGCAGTCAGTTTATTGGCAGACTCATAAAGATCGCAGAGATGCTGTATATTCACTCTTCCATTGCAATTATTTATACACAGGTGCTTTCTCCCACACACTGACACTATGTCCCAGTATGCAGCAATGCGTGGGAGTGAGCTGGCCTATTAGTGTTGTAGATAGCCCTGTGTCTGGACTGATGCTGACATTTAGCCCTGACCCATGTAAGAAAGTAATTAATTATTTTGTGGGAGCAGTGAACGTTTTTTCTCTTTGCATACTTAAACAGTTAAACTGTAGCTTGCCAATGATACACATTGTTCCTGTTTATATCGTTAGTTAGCTCAACTTGTTTGTGTCGACATACCACATCAGAGACACGTCTAATGGGCTGTGGCCACGGATGTATACTTGACATGCGTATACTTCACTCTCTGTGACTATTACAACAAATTAGCTAATTACTCTTCAG